GATATTCTACCTAATGTGATCATAAGTGATTTTGACTTTCTTATTTGTGCTCTTTTTTCTACATCAAATGTGCTAGTTTTGTGATAAAAATAAAGCTAAAAAATTAATGCTTTAAAAAAGGAAATATGTACTATAAGATAAAAAAATTAGAATGGTGTCACATATTTATTTTATGTCCCTACTGCCTAAAAACATGTCTCTTTGTGGTATACACTTCCAGCTCTAAGGGGTTACCAGTTCCTGGCTTCAGTTCAGTTCAGTCACTCAGTCATGTCCAACTCTTTGAGACCCCATGGACTGCAGCACGCCAGGCTTCCCTGTCTATCACCAACTCCCGTAGTTTATTCAAATTCATGTCCATTGAGTCGGTGATGCCATCCAATCATCTCATTCTCTGTTGCCCTCTTCTCCTCCCACCTTCAATCTTTCCCAGCATCAAGGTCTTTTCTAATAAGTCAGTTTTTCGCATCAGGTGGCCAGAGTATTGGAGTTTCAGCTTCAGCATCAGTCCTTCCAATGAATATTCAGGACTGATTTCTTTTAGGATAGACTGGTTTGATCTCCTTGCAGTCCAAGGGATTCTCTAGTCTTCTCCAACACCACAGTTCAAAAACATCAATTTTTTTTTGCTCAGCTTTCTTTATGGTCCAACTCTCACATCCATACANTTGATCTCTGGTTCCTTTGCCTTTTCCCAATCCAGCTTGAACATCTGGAAGTTCTTGATTCACGTACTGCTGCAGCCTCGCTTGGAGAATTTTGAGCATTACTTTGCTAGAGTGTGAGATGAGTGTAATTGTGTGGTATCTTGGACACTCATTGGTATTGTTTTTCTTTGGGATTGGAATGAAAACTGACCTTTTCCAGTCCTGTGGCCACTGCTGAGTTTTCCAAATTTGCTGGCATATTGAGTGCAGCACTTTAACAGCATCATGTTTTAGGATTTGAAATATCTCAGCTGGAATTCCATCACCTCCACTAGCTTTGTTTGTAGTGATGCTTCATAAGGCCCCCTTGACTTCGGACTCCAGGATGTCTGGCTCTAGGTGAATGATCACACCATCGTGGTTAGCTGGGTCATTAAGATCTTTTTTGTATAGTTCTTCTGTGTATTCTTGCCTACTGTTCCTGGCTTAGACTGAAAAATAATCTTTTAATATGAAGCTAATTACTTAAGCTCTCTCAGACAGTTTTCCCATCTATAAAATGGTTACATTAATAGCTTCCCAGTTCATGTTGGAGGGTTTATTGTTGGAATTGTGTAAGACTTGTGAAACTGCTTCCCAAAATATAAAAAAAGATACAAACTGCTATTACTGGTGTATGTGTATGTGTGCTCAGTTGTGTCCGACTCTGTGCGACCCCATGGAGTGTAGTGTGCAGACTCCTCTGTTCATGAAATTTTCCAGGCAAGAATACTGGAGTGGGTTGCCATTTCCTTCTCCAGGGGATCTTCCTGACCCAGGAACCAAACTCACACCTCTTGGGTCTACTTCATTGGCCAGTAGATTCTTTCACCAGTAAGTATTTGAAATAAAGCCATGGTAGAATTTAAAGCTTCACACCATCCTGCATTGGTTTGACTGGACTCTTTGAAGCCATTTGTGTTTAATGGGTGAAGTGAGTTGGGAGAGCCTAATTTAAATCCCAGCTCACACCTCATCTCATTTCACAACTGTTTTCCACCCATTCAATGACTGTATTTATTGGGTACTAATATGCACTAGAGCTGGCAGTTACGATGGTGAAACAGACATACGTGCATGAAGGACATGCACGTCCTTGCATGTGTGAAGCTTATAGATTAGCAGTGTATTTGTGGACGAGAAAATAGGCAGTTTCAAAACATGGTGACCAGTGCTGTGATGTGGTAGGTCCAGGGTGCCTTGAGGCTGTTGCTTGTGTGGTTATAGAAGGTTTCTTCAACCATGTAATGTTGAGGAGGGTGAAATATGCAGATGATGAAAAGGAAAGGAGAACAGTGGAGGATGCTTGCTGATCAGGCGACTGGGAGGGGTAGTGTGTTCCAGGCAGAGGGGAGAAAACCTGGACTGCCCTCGGGGCGAGGAGAGCAATGGAACAACTTTTTTTTTTATAAAGCACCCGGATCATTTTTTCTTAGATTTCAGTACTTTATAATGTTTCCTAGGTCAGGATCAGCATGGTGAGGATTAGAATACATTTTAGGGTGACCTCCTCCTCCCCTCAGGCCTCCTGACCACTCCCATATTGGCCTTTCCCCTCGCTGCCTGGCCTTTCCTTTTGAAGAGGCAGCACACTGAAGAGGTGGAAAGAGGCTTTTCTCTTTTGAAGCTGCAGCATTATTAACAGAGAAGTAAAAGTCTCCCATGAGCTATGGCAAAATCCTGAAGATTGGTTTATGAATCACTGTAGCTTAGGTTAAAGCAACCTAATTTCCTGAAAACCACTCCATGGCTTTAGCCTTCCAGAGGGGCATAAAGCTTGTATGATATTTACTCTTAGTTAAAATTAAATGGAAATTGAAAACAAAAGAACCCAAGAGTTTCTTCTGGGAGATCCTATCATTAAAGAAAACAAAAATTAAAGGCTACAAAGTCATGTGGATAAGATGTACCTATTGCATTAAAGAAGGTCTGGAAAATATACATATCAAAGTGTTAAATAGATAACTATCTCTGAGTATTTAATTGGGTTTTATGTGATTTTTATTCCATTTTTACTGTGAAATATACATTAGAGAAAATACATGATATATAAAAGTATAATTTCATAAATTTTTATTATGTGAGCCCTCACATAACCATTACTCAAATCAAGAAATAGAATATGGCCCAGGGGCTGTCCATCCACCCCTTCCACTCACAACCCATTCTCTCCTCAATGCCCTGACTTTTATGATAACTTCTTTTTTCCTTTTCTTTAGTTTTTCCACTTAAGTGTATATTGATACTTTCACATATTTATCTTTTCCTATATTTTGGACTTTAAGTAAATGGAAACATATGCCTTTTTAAAAAAAAAAACTTCTATCTTTTAACATTAGGTTTCTCAGTTTCATTTATGCTAAGGATACTATGGTTCATTTCTTTTAAAAGGCTGTATGGTATTCTAAGGTTGGATATATTAATACCACACTTGATCTACTCTAGTGTTGGTAGACAACTTGTTTTCAGTTTGGGGCCATTATGAATGGAGTTGCTCTTCTTTTGGTGCTCACATGCACGTGTTTCTGTTGCATATACACCCAGGCGTGGGAATCTGGGTCACCAGGTATGTCTTTAACAGATAGAGCCACATGCAGCGGCAGCAGGGAACACTCCCTGCAGCAGGGTAGGAGGCTCCCACCGCCCTACACTGAAGTTTTGCACGTTGTTTTCCTTTAGCTCGTTTGAATTGTCTATTTTTCCTCTATAAATATAAATATCCATTGTTTAATTAGCAAAATGCTTTTCTAATGCTTCTTAAATTTGTCTTTCCCAATGAGAATATTATTTTTAAACTTTTAAATTGAAGTAAATAATTCTTATAGTAAAAGCCACCCAGATCACAGGTATATGGCTTAATAGATTATCACAAAGTGAACCCACCTCTGGGTCCATCAGCCAGGTCAAGAAATAGAATTTTCTGGCCTCCTGGAAGCACCTTCATTCCCCCTATCTGGTACAGTCCTTTCCCTCATCAAAAGTAAACTATATATTTAGTTCTAACACAATAGTTTAGTCTTGTATGACTTTGAAGTTTATACAAGTAGAACAATACAGGAGACCTTATTTCATGTGTAGCCTCTTTTATTTTTCAACATTGCGAGATTCATCTGTATTGCTATGTATAGTAGTAATTCATTCTTTTTTTTTTTTTTTCTTGCCATGAGGAAGAAATTTTTACCTAAGAGGCAAACTACTCAGTGCTTTTTTAACTCATGGACTGTATTGACCCTTGCCACATGTGGGTTAGAACACTTTACAGTCATCTGTATGTTTGTTTCGACATCAATAATAAGCTTTGGGGTTCGAGATGCTGCTGGGAGAGTGAGTATGGTACCCAGCTGCCCTCATATCCATAATTATCGCTCCGCTTGGAGTTGTCTCTCAGCAATAACGAATGTTTTCTTTCCCTTCTTCTCCACCTAAAATGCAAAATAATATCACAGCCCCAGGCTGCACACTTTTATGTAAAACAGAGCAGTCACAGGATTTTACTGGAAAGTTGATTTATTTCTGAGGATCATGAGAGTCCAAGGATAAAACTGGCATCTGGCCACAGGGAGAGCCCTTGACCTAGAAGTGGAGACAGCTTCAAAGCTGTGTTGGTTTATAATGGAATAAGGCACTTTTAACATGAATCAGAGCCTCAAAACTTTCTAGGGGCAAAAAAAATCCTAAAACTGTCCTCCAAAAGGAAAGGTAAAATCAATAGCTTAGGTTTTTCACTCTCTCAGATAAGCAATACTAAACACTTCTACCAAAACAGTTGTTTAAATCTAGCTTTTGGTTTGTTGTTTTTTTTGAAAGAACAAAGTGTCAACTGAGCTTGAACTCTTAAAGCAGAATCTTGATATCAATCTTTTTTTTTTTTTTTTTAAAGCAGCCAAACAGGATTTCAGATGGGAACTCTCTGAAAGGCTGCATGTGAATATGTAGTAAATGTAATTTTTCTTCTTTTTTTCTTTAGGCCTTGAGATGTAATTATTAAAGCTGCAAGTGTCCCCAGTGATATCAGCTAGATAATCAAATTTGGATCACAGGAATGAAATAACCTGAAGAGTGCCTTCATTACTGCTTTCCTAGAAATAATTCACTTAAGATAATTCTACCCTCCCCCCACCCACAAATCTGTAACCAGGCAATGGAGAGAGCCAGTAAAATTAGCCAGAGTAGTCAAAAGGGTCAAATTGATTCTCAAAGCAAAGAATGCCAATATTTCTCCACCATAAAAATAGCAGAAAACATTGCCAAAAAATAAAATAAAATAAAACATTGCCAAAATCACATGCAGGAACAATAAATTAAAAGGCTGAATAAAAATGCAAAATTTAGGAGACTTTATTGCTAAAGTAGTCATGAATTACTGATTAACTTTCTTAAGAAAAAAAACAATAGCAAAAAATAACATTTTTTACAATAGTTGATTGAGAATAGTTTTTGTTAGCAAACATACGTACCCACTGGAAAAAATGATCTATGAATGTATAGGTCAGTCAGACAAGGATATAATTAGTATTATATAAACTTAAACTAAGCAAAATCAAGATTTCAACAAATTGAGAAGTTCTGAACTGTTTTGGTATATCTCCTTTCACTAAGAAGATAAAAATCCCTTTTTGCTTCTATCTACCCCTCTCTTCCAGTGCTATCAGTAAAGAACCCACCTGCCAGTGCAGGAGATGTGAGAGAGATGGGTGTGATCCCCGGGTCAGGAAGATTCCCCTGGGGGAGGGCATAGCAACCCACTCCAGTAATGTTTGCCTGGAGAATTCTGTGGGCAGAGGAGCCTGGCAGGCTACAGTCTATGAGGCTGCAAAGCATCAGACACGACTGAAGAGACTTAGCACACACACACACCCCTCTCTTCAGTTAAGGCCAGGAGAAATTCTTAGGCCAGAAAGGCTCAGAGTGGGAAGTTATTGTATTAAGACTGTTCTCTTTTGCCAATGCTTCTTAATCCCCATGTACCAGTCTTCCTTGCTATTTCATGAAAAGAGGATCCCAGCTGGGCCAAATTGTGTGATAGCTATATAATCTAAGCACAATCCCCAGGGGCTTAGAACAAAAATTAACCCAAAATATTTAAACTTGAAACCTTAGCTATAAAGAATATCTACAAACATTCACAGACCAGTCAGAGATTCTATCCTCTTACAAGAACTCAAGAGGGAAGATCACTATGAGAAAGGTCTTCTAGAATTGGACTTTGCTTATCACGGAAATGTCCGTGGGTGCTAAAACAGAATACACATTGAACTGAGAAATAGATGTCTTGGGTTCCAGAACTGAATTTGCCACCAACCAGTATAATCTCTGCCAATTTCTTGCAACTCTTTGGCGGAGATTCCTGTCTATAAAATGAAAGAAAAAAAAAAATTGAACTAGATTCTGTAAGGATCCTTCCAGGTCCAATAACTGTCTAAGTTATATTTCTAGACCATGATCAAGTAATAGCTCACCCTCTCCCCATTATTCCACATCCACTTTTTCTTTCTTGCTAATGCACTGAGAGATGGTGTTGGGATTGGGAACCTAGCTCATTTTCCAGTACCCATCTCAGGTCATTTTTTAGATGCAGAGTCAATTGAATATGCTTTAACATCCTATCTGCCTAGGTTCCTTTCAGAGAAATCCATTATCATATTTGGTCCTTTTTCTGGCATTAGAATTCCCATGATGTTCTATGGGAACATGAGGTCACAACAGAAAGTATGAGAAAGGCTAGGTTTAGGGCTCCAGGCTGCCATAGGTGTTTGTGATGTTCCCTGGAAGACTCAGAATCCATAAATAAATGGATTGCACTCCTTTTAACCTTTGGGAGTTACCAAGTGGATCATGCCAGTGCTTAATAATGGTTAACTAGAGCTCGGAGGACAATTTGAAATAGTATGTTTTAAAACGTCATCAATGAGACCTGACATGTGAGAGACTCTTCCTGCACTAAGAACTATCTCGGATGCCACATGGAAGAGCTGCAAACTGGGAGCAAATCCACTCCATCCTACCATGAGCCCTTCCTGTTTTGTCAGCCAGCATGGTTTCCTAAATCTCAAATTGCAGCCGAACTGTTCTGCAATTCCATGGCTAGCTATTTCGGGAGCCTAACACAGCAGGACAAATGTGTACAAGTCCACACAGTATGACAGAAGAATTAAAAATGTATTTACCATCTGCTGGTAGTTTCCTTCTGGGGCTCTTTTCCTCTCTTGCAGCCATGAATAGGGTCTTCTTGCCTCCTCCCATCCTCAAAGAGCAGAGTTCTGTCCTCAGATCCTTGGATGAAGGGCTTTTTTCCTCCCTCTTTTAAATTTCCCAGACTGTTGAACTCTGAACGTGTTTCAGCTTCTAGGATCGTTTCCCACAAATATAAAGTGGAGTGAGTCTGTGAACGGGTGGTAGTGTTTTATATGCCTTTGTGTGGCCAGGTTACTTTCAGATCCTGGTCTTGAGTTCTGGTGACAGTGGCCTTTGGGAAGTTCAAGAGTAGAACAAGAGAAGTCAAACACAGGTCAACTGAAAGGAAATTAAATTCTTCAGTTAGGCTTGGAAACTCATGTGGGCCCTTTACAATCTATTTAGACCTTACTATGATGGGATGTGTCAGATTCCAGACAAAATTTCTGAGAGGAAAGAGTCCTCAGAATGTGACCATGGACTTCAAGTGAGAGTCATGGCAGGCATGTAGCAGCGTGGATAAAAATCGTAAGCTGGAGTGTAGTTTGGTACGTTGGGAAACCAGTTAGGTAGCTTTGAAGCCACTTGGCTTATGTAGGAATATTCAGGCCTCAATAAGCATCACTAGTTTTAATTTCTGGGACATATATTATTCACTCAAAAATTATTTCTAGACCATGATCAAGTAATAGCTCACCCTCTCCCCATTATTCCACATCCACTTTTTCTTTCTTGCTAATGCACTGAGAGATGGTGTTGGGATTGGGAACCTAGCTCATTTTCCAGTACCCATCTCAGGTCATTTTTTAGATGCAGAGTCAATTGAATATGCTTTAACATCCTATCTGCCTAGGTTCCTTTCAGAGAAATCCACTATCATATTTGGTCCTTTTTCTGGCATTAGAATTCCCATGATGTTCTATGGGAACATGAGGTCACAACAGAAAGTATGAGAAAGGCTAGGTTTAGGGCTCCAGGCTGCCATAGGTGTTTGTGATGTTCCCTGGAAGACTCAGAATCCATAAATAAATGGATTGCACTCCTTTTAACCTTTGGGAGTTACCAAGTGGATCATGCCAGTGCTTAATAATGGTTAACTAGAGCTCGGAGGACAATTTGAAATAGTATGTTTTAAAACGTCATCAATGAGACCTGACATGTGAGAGACTCTTCCTGCACTAAGAACTATCTCGGATGCCACATGGAAGAGCTGCAAACTGGGAGCAAATCCACTCCATCCTACCATGAGCCCTTCCTGTTTTGTCAGCCAGCATGGTTTCCTAAATCTCAAATTGCAGCCGAACTGTTCTGCAATTCCATGGCTAGCTATTTCGGGAGCCTAACACAGCAGGACAAATGTGTACAAGTCCACACAGTATGACAGAAGAATTAAAAATGTATTTACCATCTGCTGGTAGTTTCCTTCTGGGGCTCTTTTCCTCTCTTGCAGCCATGAATAGGGTCTTCTTGCCTCCTCCCATCCTCAAAGAGCAGAGTTCTGTCCTCAGATCCTTGGATGAAGGGCTTTTTTCCTCCCTCTTTTAAATTTCCCAGACTGTTGAACTCTGAACGTATTTCAGCTTCTAGGATCGTTTCCCACAAATATAAAGTGGAGTGAGTCTGTGAACGGGTGGTAGTGTTTTATATGCCTTTGTGTGGCCAGGTTACTTTCAGATCCTGGTCTTGAGTTCTGGTGACAGTGGCCTTTGGGAAGTTCAAGAGTAGAACAAGAGAAGTCAAACACAGGTCAACTGAAAGGAAATTAAATTCTTTAGTTAGGCTTGGAAACTCATGTGGGCCCTTTACAATCTATTTAGACCTTACTATGATGGGATGTGTCAGATTCCAGACAAAATTTCTGAGAGGAAAGGGTCCTCAGAATGTGACCATGGACTTCAAGTGAGAGTCATGGCAGGCATGTAGCAGCGTGGATAAAAATCGTAAGCTGGAGTGTAGTTTGGTACGTTGGGAAACCAGTTAGGTAGCTTTGAAGCCACTTGGCTTATGTAGGAATATTCAGGCCTCAATAAGCATCACTAGTTTTAATTTCTGGGACATATATTATTCACTCAAAAATAAAATCTAATAGAGAGTAGTACTAAAAATGTTGCTTTAGCCAAAATAATTACAATGCAGTGTTACGACTCCACTTGGCCTACATCATTCAGATAATGACTTGTTAAAAACTCTCAGGCTGCGTAAGTGGATAGCTTCCTACCTTGAAACCAGTGCTGGGTGAGCTTGGACCTTGGGCAGGTCCTTTAAACTGCCAGCCTCAGTTTAACCATCTCAGAAATGGGAAGCATGATCTCAACCTCACCGGACTGCAGTGGGGATTTAGATGGAATGACATCTGCCAAGCTCTCACCACATTGCCTGGCACAGAATAACAGCTTGATAAATGGTAGCTTTTAACAGTTATTATTATTGAAAGCTGTTGGTATGCTTTTTCTGTTTTTCCTCAATACTTGCTGTCAGGTTTGTACATTGTCTTCCATTCTAGTTTCAAATTTTGTTTTTAAGAAGTCCTTCACAAATCTGAGCCTGAATATGAATTCAGCTGTTTTTGACTCAGTCTTAATAGGTGTACCAGATATAATTAAGTCAAAGATCAAGTAAATAGAACATGTGGACACAATGTGTTGGTTTTGGATTAGCTTCTAATGAGGGAATCATTGTGTTAGAACTTAAAACTCTGCACATAGTAGGTCCTGAAAAATATTACTGACTCATTAATTCATGTAAATGGTTGATAAATCTTTAGCGGGTAGCTGTCATGTGCCAAGGACTGTTCTAGACATTTGGGGTTTATCTGTGAATACAACAGATAAAACCTCTGCTCTCGACAAAAAATAAATAAAGGAAATGACTCAGAATGTTCTAAGGTAATATATCGATGGAATAACAGAGCAGAACAAAGTGGATCAGGAAAGTCAGGGGTACAGTTTTAAGTAGGGTGGTCAGAGCAGGCTTTGCTGGGAGGTTTTTAATTTCCTAAACAAAAAGGCTGAAGAAAGTGATGGAGTGAGCCATGTGGATATTCAGGGAAAAGCATTCCAAGCCAAAGGACCAGCAAGTAGAAAAGGCCCGGAGGCAAGGGAGCACCTGGCTTGTTTGGGGCCGGAGCTGTGGGACCGAGAAGGAGAGAGAGGCAGGGGATCTGAAAGACAGAGGGCGTCCCCACGGCGACCTTGGAGGTCATGGGAAGACTCTGACCTTGACTCCAGGTGGAAGAGTGACATTTCACACGCTTCCGAGCAGAGCTGTGGCATCGCCTCACGCAGACGCCCGAGTCAGGCCTGAAACAGACACGGTGGAAGGAGAGAGGATTTAGGAGTTCAGTCTGAACATCCTGATGAAGGGTGGTGGTGGTTCCGCTCCAGCGGCAGCAGCCTAGGTGGTGAGAAATGGTCAGATTCCGGATACATTTTTAGAGGGTAAAAATTGGGATTGGGGGGCAGACTGGATGTGGGGGTGTGAAAGAAAGAGACGAGTCAAGGTGCTTCTTGGCCTGAGCCCTTGGAAGGACGGAGCTGCCACTTGCTGAGATGAGTGTGCGAGGACTGTGTCATCCGTCTCACGGAGACTCTGAGAACAGACACCTAGGGATTCTAGGCTCCGGCGGAAGGCCTCCCTCCACCTTCTGGGGGAAGCCTCTTGAAACCAGTGAGCTTCCAGGTGTGCTTTTTGAAAGATGGGACTCAGAAAGACTGAGTTTTTCCTAAGCACTTTTATAAGACTCAAATGAACAGTTTACAAAAAGGGCAGCAGTTTTGGGGGTTGTATTTCCTCCTCCGTGCCAAACAATTAATTGTTTTTTTAGTATTTTCCTCACCCCTACTCCACACATAGAAATACCACTTCTTTTTCTTTTAAAGTTTTATCTATTTATTTTAAAAATATTTGTTTATTTGGCTGCTGTGGGTCTTAGTGCCACACACAGGATCTCCCATCTTTGTTGTGGCATGCAGGATCTTTAGATGCTGCATGTGAACTCTTAATTGCAGCATGCGGGATCTAGTTCCTTGACTGGGAATGGAACCCATGTCTCTTGAATTGGGAGCGCAGAGGCTTAGCCACTGGACCACCAGGGGAGTTCCTGAAATGCCACTTCTCAAGAGGAGAGCTGCTGTGGCACCCTGGAACCAGTAGAGGGAGCCGAGGAGCCCTGGGAAGACCTTTGAGCTGCGGCCCAGGGTGGGAGGAGAGGTCTATCTCAGACCTCTGTGCCTGGGCCAGAAGCCGGGTGTTTCTGGGAGGATGAGGAGGTAGTTCTAGAACTCTCTTGCCAGCTTTCCTATTCCACTGCAACTTTTGTTTATTGTTGTGGTCATGGCTAAAAGACCAAACACACATCCAGAACTGATTGCCGATGTGTATCTATACAGGAAAGATAGTGGGCCATCTATGTAAATAAAGACAAGAAAGAAGAATGCAACACATCTGTTGCCATAGCTCTTGTAGAAACGGCGTCTGAATTTCCTGGGGCTACGGTAAAAAAAAAAAAAAAAAAAAAAAATGACTGGTTGGCTTCAAACAAGAGAAATTTATTCTCCCATGGTTCTGGAGACCAGAAGCCTAACGTCAAGATGTCAGCAGGGCCCTGCTCCCTCTGAGGCTTTAAGGAAGAATCTTCCCTTGCTTCTTCTAGCTCTCCGTGGTTGCTGGGCATTCTTGGCTTTCTTTGGCTGGGGGCAGCAGCGCAAGAGTCTGCCTCTGTCTTCATGGGGCCTGCTCCCCCACTCCCGTGTCTCTTCTGTGATTCCTGTTCTTAGGAGGACAGTAGTCATGTTGGACGTAGGGTCCACCCTAATCCAGTAAGACTTTATCTCAACTAATTACATCTGTGCATGCTAAATCACTTCAGTCGTGTCCGACTCTTTGGGACCCCATGGACTGTAGCCTCTGTCCATGGACCTGTCCTATGGACAGGCTCCTCTGTCCATGGGATTCTCCAGGCAAGCATACTGGAGTGGGTTGCCATGCCCTCCTCCAGCGGATCTTCCCAACCCAGGGATGGAACCAGCATCTCTGGTGTCTTCTGCATTGTAGGTGGGCTTTTTACCACTAGCGCCACCTATGTGCAGAGACTCTATTTCCAAAAAAGCCACACTCACTGCACTGAGGACTAGATGTATCTCTCTGGGAACACAATTCAACCCACAACAATGGGAACTCTCAAGGAGAACGGACTAGTGGGGGTGCCACATAAATGGAGCAGTAAAAGGAAAACAGTGACATGTGAAATTGTAAGTGGAGGTCAGACGGGTTTGGGAGTAACAGGAAATATTAGATAAGAGACGCTCTCATTTAGGAGAGTCTTTCCATCTGTGCTTACGGCCCTGATTTTTTTCTTTTCTGTCAGAGTTAAAAAAAAATTGTATAAATAAAAAGAATAAGAAAATAGCACTTCGCTGACTCACACGTTGGGCAGAGCCACAAACTCTTGTGATAATCAGGAAAGACTTCGCAGAAATGTTGGTGCTTAAGCTGGATCCTGGAGGATGGGAATAAAATTGCCCTGCAAAGAAGGGCTTCCCAGGTAGGGAGAAAGTATATGGAAAAGCACAATGTTATTTCGGCGATCCACCCTTTACACCTTAAGTAGGGTGAAGAGTCTCTAAAAGCAAGGCCCAGATTGTCTGCTTAATCTCTATTACTAAGAAATGGTATTAAAGAAAGGAAGGGGCAGAGATGTTTCTGGTTTTGATAAATGCACAAATCAGCACACAGTAACCTGAAAGAACTTTAGGAGCATCTCTAAGGCGGAGTTCATTCTTGGACACATTTGCCAAAGCACAAATGTGGAAACCCCGCCCTCAGCCAGATCTGAAGAAATCAAAAGGCTGATGTGGTATAAATTCCTCTGCCCTGATTGCATAAAGGAGATGTGCCAACATTTTTTTCTCTGATATATTCCTTTCTGCACAGAGAGCTGAACTGGGTTCTTAAAAACCTGATCGTGAACTGAGATAGGCAATTCTGAATCACCACCAGGATCTAGGAAAATTAACTCCTCACTGATCTTCCTAGATAAGCTCCCAAGCTCGCTGCCTCTCAGATCAGCACCGGGATCTGGCGAGGTTTCTGCCACAGAGCAACTCCCTTTTTTGGCATAAGAATGTACAGGATGCCAGTAAAGTTCACGCTGGGTCATCTAAGTCTCTTTAAATGCGCGATGATTCATTGCTGGGGGTGGGGGCGAGAGGAGTGAGGGGGAAGGAAGTGCTGAGCTGAGAGGCGGGGCGAAGTCATTATGAAATTGACTGCAGAAAAGCTGGCGCTGGGAGCGCTGGGGTCACATGGTCTTACTATTGGTATTTCAGCTACAAGTTTTAAACCAGAGGTAGGGGGAGGGGTTGGGAAGCATCACCTTGAAGCTTGATCGGCTTTCAGAGGAGATGCTTCCGTTGATGGCTGGCATGTTGATTAGAATTACAATGGGGGTATTCATTTCTCTTTTTATCTGACAAAAAAAAAGAAAAGCTCTCCTGTGACAGTATGGCTAGCAGAATAAGAATCTGGCTGTAAGTGGTGTGAGTGAACCGTTGGTCTTTTTCTACTTGATTTACTCGCATTCTAGCTGACAGGGTCTTCCCTTCTGTGCATTTATTTTGTACTTAAAAAGGGATTGTTTGTAATTTACAGTTGAAGCCTGAGTGCTATTGGTCTGCTCGGTCAGAGAGCATGGATAGCAGGAGCAGTCACTCCATGTCAGTGCCAGCACACAAAGCAAATTTGGATCTTCAGTCATCAGTCTTGAGAGCTCCCCAAAGTTACCCAGCAGTTCAACTGTGGAGCGGCCCTGAGGCACAGGGCTTCTGCAAATAACAAAATGCCTGACAAACCCTGCTGAAATCCTGACACGGGCAGTTTCCTCTCGTTGTTTATGTCAAAAGGCAAAGTTTGCCAATGCATTTTTCTCTGACTCTTCCTCTTTGGGATAAACTTGGTAAATTCTTCATAAAGTAACTGTCTTAAACTCTGACCTGCATTTGGACCAGCTTTTCCTAGCCGAAACTGACTCAACAAAAACAAAGGCACGGTGAGAGCTTATAGCTATGTATTTTAATGTCTTGAAGTCAGAATAACAATTTGATGTCTATTGTTGTCCCTGATCTTAGTTTGAAGGCACCCCAAGCTTTAACCTCATAACCCATCAACTGCCTCTATCTTAAGTGTAAACAATGGTGGCTTTGGGCTTTAGTTTTAATTTGGAAAATGTATTTCTTTTGAGGAAACAAAATGCCAAGTTGTTAATGACGTGCTTTTAATAGATTTCCAAATGCTCCTGGCCAATACTGAGCAAAGTTCAACTCACTGATTCTCAGCCTTAAAATGTTGTTCATTTTAATTTCATGTAAGAGCTATGTTCTAGAGATGCATAAAACCACAAATTCTGTTATTTCATAAGTCACTGCAGTAGATTCAATGTTGATAATAGTTATATTGATGAAAATGTATCTAGGTCTTGCTTGCAAAATCAATGGTAATGGTTAAAATTCATCTCATTTCCTTTTGACATGTCCTATTGTACTAAATATATTAGAAATTGTTAAAAACATTTTTTTCTTTTGGCTTTGTTTTCTAGTGAAGCAGTAACTGTATACTTTTCACTATCCACGTCTAAAGCCATTTCTTATTAAAAGATGTCATCCTCAACCATTCAGCTGTCACTCCAGAAAGCATGTGCTTTCTAAAACAGAGAACAAGTTTTCCATCAGCTTCCCAGGGTGGCGAAGTATCTGAGGCCTGTTCCTACCCCACCCCGAGAGACTGACTCTTAACAAATTTTTAGTCTAACATAAAGCCTAATAAATTTTTGTTTCACTGGCCCATAGCACATCTACCAGCAAGATTACGCCTTTACCAACAGCTTACTCTCAGAGATCATTTTAATAAGGGGTAAAGTCCATGTTGGGCTTCCTAGGTGACTCAGTTGGTAAAGAATCTGCCAGCAATGCAGGAGACCTGGGTTCAATCCCTGGGTCAGGAAGATCCTCTGGAGAAGGGAATGGCATCCCACTCCAGTATTCTTGCCTGGAGAATTCCACGGACAGGGGAGCCTGGCAGGCTACAGTTCATGGGGTCCCAAAGAGTCAGACATGACTGAGTGACTAACACTCACTATTCAAGGTCAGTGCTATATACTGCAAGGGGGGAACCTCAGGAAGGTAGAAAAGTAACCAAATTACCTACTACACTATGCAATAAGGTCTCCAATTATGGTTATGGAACTAATTCCTACACCTCCCCAGCCCATTGTCTTTACCAGTGCTGTCCATTAGAAACATAATGGACACATGTCACTGTAAATCTTATAGTAGCCACATTAAAAAAGTAAAAAGAAACAGGTAAGTTAATTTTAACAATATTTTAATTTAACCTAATATAGTATAATATTTTCATTTTAACGTTTAATCAATATAAAAATTGAGATACTATATTAATTTATGTGTATATATGTGCATGTGTATGTATGTACATGTTCTAAGTCTTTAAAATCCAAGGTATATTTTACAATTACAGCCCATCTCAAGTGCTTAATAATCATATTGGACAGTACAGACCTATGCTAATGCACTTGTTTTTGTTTTCATTGTAGACAGAATCTTATTTAAAATTGCCTAATATGTGTACTACTAAGTCATAAACTGTCAGCAGATGTTTAAACACAATGATTTTAATTTCACTTTTGACTACTGCTGATGTTACTTTCATTACCCAGAAACCTGTGTTGCTACAGTTTGTTGGAGGGTCAAGAAAGCTGATTCAGAAGCAAGTCCTTTAAGAGTCTCCATGCCAAGAGCAAAGCCCAGTGACTTCAATTTGGGTGTGGTGAGTTGACCTCAGAGTCTATTGTGTGAGTGGTTTTCACTTTTGTTTTGAGTTTATTTTACTTTTCTGGCCTCTCAACTTTATTTGGAAGTGCAGTCTAAGGAAAGCATATTGGTTTTGTAAGCATGCTATGGTTTGCTCAGATTTTTAAATGATATATATATTAGGTTACCACTCTCCTTATAATACCATGGTTAAAGAACTGTCAGTGTTTCCATTAACTTTGGGGGGGGGTTATCACACAACCGTAACAAATTGCTGCAGGTTGAAATCTGGCAGATCTTTCTTTAGCCTGGAGGAAATTCTTTTTAACAATTTTTAAGAAAAATATATAAATTATTAAATGCTGACCATTTAAATTTACTGTTTTTTTTTTTTTTTTGGATAGGCAAGGATATCAGATAAAATATATGTTGTATCTTTATATTTTGGTTGTTTTACAAGTTGAAATATTAATATTAGCTTTATAAATAACTTTGACTGATGATTTACACAATTGCCTGACCCCCAACCAAATTTTCAATGATCCTAGTATTTGAGCCTCGTGTTTGGAAGTCTGATCAATATACTGTTTCTGAGAGGTACTGGAACAATCAACTATGAATCTTTTAAGTTTCATCATAGGTAAAAATAGACATTTTTCAAAAGATAAGATTTGTTTTGCTATGAGCTCCTTGCAGACGGAAATGTCTTACTCATCTTTATAGTCTCAGGGCCTAGTTATTGTAAATGCAAAATGAACGGCTGCTGGTAAATAAGTGATAAACACATAAAAATATAGCTTGAGAATGAAGACTGTCTCTGTTCATAAGTTTCTCATTTAAATATTCACTTATTAGATATTTACTACCTAATAACTTTGAAAAATCTTAAAAACTATAAAGAACATGTTGCTGGGTCTTCAACCTCTATGATTTCCCTCATTTCTGAACAAGTCAGTGGGTTACTGACTTGTTCATTAGTAACAAGTTAATGACTTGTTCATCATTAAACAACTCAATACCGTTCAGGCATGAGCCAGTCCCAAAACTTTTTAGAGGCTGAGTTTTATAGCCTGTCTCATCCATCTCCCAGAAGCACTGGAAGATGCAGTGTGGAAGGGCTGTAAAATGTATGAAAAGCTACATTGATAAAATTGAAACTTAAATCTACCCCACTGCAAACATATAGGATAACCCCCTAAGATGACTGTGAGAAACAGGAGTGACTCTCACTTGCCTTACTCCATGTTGTATATCTTTATTTTTCACGGCAGAAAAGATAAGGCATCTTTCTCAAGTATGACTATTGAGGCCCACTTTAAGAATTCAAATCTTAAACTGTAAATAATTATATCTATATGCTACTGACTATTTATCTTCCAATCCATTCTGTTATTTAGTTGTTACAAGCTGCTGAGCCCTTTGTGTTTGCTTTGTCTTTGAACTGTGTAAGAGGCTACTTCCAGTGAAGACATATTCTACAATTAAAAAGCCCTTGCGATTTGGAGGGCCTGTACACTTGCTTTATTAAGCACTCTTGTGCTCCCTCTGCTGCCGTGAAGAAAACCTCCATGTCCAAGACCCTGGTATATTCCTTACAGAGTGTTCCCTTGGCAATGATGATGCAGATTTGTGCATAACTCAGGGCCCTTCTGAAATGCAGTACTGTTTGACCAAAGCATACAATGTTAATGATTTTTCATTTGAAAAGTGCAAAGTAATAAAAGGGAAGGGAATAAAAAGGAATACATTGAAGAATCAAGTTCCACGTTTGTGAACAAATTCATCTAGACAGAGCCCTGGAGTGTGGACAGGGTAATGTACTCAGGAATCACTGTGGGGTGGGGGGTTGGGGTGAGGTGTGGATGTTGGTTACACTGCGATTCAGTAGGTCTGGGGTGGAACTCTGAATGTCTAAAGAGCTTCCAGATGCTGCTCTGAAGACTATGCTTTCAGAAGCACGATGTGATATGTAATTATATGATATAAAATATACTTGATAGGCCATTTTAAACCTTTAAAAGTAGACATTACCCTAACAGTGAAGTAGATATGAGTGTTCAAGCAATACAGAACACAGATTAGGAGAAAGAAGGCTCAGCAGGCCTTCTTTTTCAATCTCCTTTAATTGCAAAGTTCAACTCATGCTGGTATGAATGTAGTACCAGGTTTATGAATAGAAGCATAGTACTACAGAGTTGCTTACTGGTTTCTTGAAAACCCTTCTTTCACTGAGTTTTTATTTGCTGGAGAAGGTATTGTTTTTAAAGAAATCAGGGCCAGTTGTGATTGTACGTTTCATATTTTGCCATCTGAAAATACAACATATCAGTACTAAAGGTGATGAAACTATATTGTGAGTATTATGTTTATGTTGGACCTTGTAGGAAGAAATAGTTACAGATTTTAATGGCGGATTATGGTTTTAACCTTAATGGCTAAGTAAGTAAATGACACGGTTCTTATTAATTGTTCTTACTGTTTGGGTAATAAACATATTTACCTTCCTTGAGGGAACATTTAAATTAATTGACTAACTGTTATCTGAATTATGTGTTTTAATTTGTCTAAGGTTATTATAATAACTGCTTGTATCGGAGTAATAATGAAAGTATTAGCTGTGTTTTTTTTTTTTTTTACCCCCAATTGTCTAAATGTAAGATGTCTAAAAATAGAGTGGAGGTGGATTGGACAATCTGCAGATTAGGAGTTGGAATGAAAGCATCTCAGTTAAGCCAAAAACATGGCAACCAATATTTTCTGTTATAAAAATATTTTAGATGAATTTATATTTTTATGAAAGCTGTCTGAATCTGAAATGAAGAGTAGAAGTTCTCTGTTTATTCACAGGCCAGTAATAATAATACCTGCCTCACAAAGCATAGGTCTTTTCCGTGCAGAGCCAACAGCTTCTACTCCTTTCAGAAACCGGGTCTGCCAGTACAGGAGAAAAGATATTATTACCCGGTTATTAACCTTCACCTTGATAATGCTTGTCAACGAACACAACGCCAGGCAAAGCCTTTTCAGGAAACTGATTTTAATTGTCCACTAGAGGCTGTAATGAGACCAACAATGTCACTTTAGACCAACCCGGGCTTTAAACTGTAACCATCATTGATTTTTAAGTGGGAAAAAAAAAAGTTGTAAAAACGAGTAAACAGTAGTAGTTCTTTTAAAATAGCCATGTATATGTGCATGGTATTTCAAAATGTGAGAAACAAATATTTCCAGGGCACTACACCTTCCTAGTTAGGATGCTTATTTTTATTTCGGCAGCACCTCGGCTCTACAATACAGTTGTTTAAATTGACACATTTCTCTTGGTGATTCTGCATCCTGCTTCAGTTGGTGACTAACGGTTAGATCATAAGTAAATTAAGCCAAAAGATTTCTCAAATACAACTTGCAGTCAAGTGGAGACTTCCAGAGAGAAACTTAGGTGGAGGGATCCTATTTCTAGCCATTTGGTCAAAGCACCTGAAAAAGGTCAAATGTTGCCCGACACCTACCGGCCTTCCAGAATTATCTGCAGCCAGGAGAACGCCGCCGCACTGAACTCCCTGTAGCATGGCCGTGCCTTCTCCTCCTCCAGGTGGCACACCTGTTGGTCAGGTACCACCGGTCCAAATAAGAGTCCTTCCCTTCCAGCTAATGCCTGGCGGTGGTACCCACGGAGGGACGGGTGGCGAGGAGCTGAGAACCGCACTTAAAAAAATTGAGTCCAGAGGAAGTTCTTACCGCGCGGATTCACGAGAACTGCCATCTGATGCTCGGTTTGCTTTCTCTATCTCCTACACTGGTTACCTCATTTCCGATGAAATTAATGATCCCGAATTAGCTGCGAGAGGAGCGCGCGGGTCGTCTACCCAGGCTCGAGTTGGGTAGTTCCGTGCTCCAAGCAGATTTCCGGACCTGCAGAAAGAGAAAGGAGAGCAGGGTGGTCACCAGCTTTCACAGGCAGGAAAGGTGAGGGTGCACGTGCAGACGGGGGGTTGGGGGCAGGACCCTTCAAACTTTCCTGAGTTGCACGCCAAGGCGATCTCCGCGGCTCGGTGGGCTGGGTTCCAAAACGCCGAGGCTAAACCGGTTTGAGGGTTAACGTGCGTGAAGGTCGGAGTCAGCCCTCTTAGAGGCTTCTCCGCACGCCCGGGACGAAGGGAACGTCGGGATCGGAACCGGCCCACCTCTCCTTCCCCAGAGGGGATTTCTCGGGCTCCGCTCTGCAGCCCGGCACCCCTCGGAGAGTCCCTCCAGGGTGCCTGAGTCGCGCCCAGCCAGTGCCTTCACAACTCGATGCAGGGACCCGGGGAGGCGCGCGAGGACCGACCGGTCACCGCTCCAATTACCTCATCGCTTTAGCTCCCCGCCCCTTTCCCAAACCTGGAAGAACTGTCCCCTCCTAACTCCTAGTTTGGGGCGAGGGGGGGGGGGGGGGGAGGAGGAGGAGAGAGCAGAGTATACCGCAGACATCATTTCTACTACAGTGGCGGAGCCGTTCAGGACCTGTTTCACTGCAGGGGGATCCAAAACAAGCCCCGTGGAGCAGCAGCCAGAGCTACAGCAGCCGCAAGACACTGTTTCTCTCCCTCTGCCCCCCCTTCCCCACGCAACCCCAGATCCATTTACACTTTACAGTAAGTGGCTATTTTTTTTCTCCTGATTCTTTCTCTCCCCCCTCCCCCCATCTCCTTCTCCCCTGATTTAGATCAAGATCCCCCCCTACCCCGCTCTCCCGAGAGGGGCAAAAGCAACAACCAGCAAACAAACCCCAAACCCCATTCGGCGGCACGGAAAACAGCTGGAAGAGGAACGAAGGAAATCGACGCGTCGTGTTGTGGTGTGTGTGTGTGTGTGTGTGTGTGTGTGTATACATACACCCTTCCCCGGCTCCAGCCTCCCGGGCCGACATCCCCAGCTGTGGGCGCTGAGACCACCGGCAGGGGGGTGGTGTGCAGGGGCCGGGTGGGCGCCCCCCGGGCGAGGGGGCGCGCCCGGGCGGGGGGCGCTGGCTGGCGGGTAGATCCGCGGCGGCTCCCCACTACGGCGGCTGCTGGTCCGAACGCCAGTGGGGAGAGCCGTGTCCTCTTCCCAGGAGGTGGCGTAGGGGGGAGGTGGCTGCCGGGGGTCGCGCTGCCTCTCCTCCCGCCGCCCCCTCCTCACTCCTCTCTTCGCAGAGGGCGGCGAGAGCGAGCAGATCTGGAAGAGGGCTGGCTTTACCGCGGGGGCCGCCTGGCCCCGGAGCCCCTGGGGCGGGGGTCTCCCGGCGGAGGCCGGCCTGGGCTAGCGTGCGACTGCGGACCGGGAGGGTCTGCGCCCGCGGCCGGGCCGGGACTTTGCGCGCGCCGCCGGGCGGTGGGATCGCGGGGGGCACCAAGGGAGGTGGACGCGGGGAGGGCAGGCGCGCGGTGCCGGGAGCGCGGCCGGAGTGGCGGTCGGAGCCCTCGCCAGCGCCCGCGGCCGGAGCCGGGAAGCCGCGGCAGGAGCTGCCCTGCCCGCGCCGGGAGTGAGCGGCTGCGCGGCTGCTGGGAGGGTGAATGAAGCCGGGAGGAGGGGAGGGGGGAGGCGGCGGCGGCGGAGGAGGCGCTGCGGGCGCTGGGATGCGCCCGGAACCCCGCTGCTCGTTCACTCTGGGCCGGGCCGGAGTCTCCGCCACTCCCGCGGCCGCCGCCGCCGCCTCCTACGTGGTTCCAGCGCTGCGCGCAGGCCGGTCCCGCAGGGGGCAGGGCAGGGGGCCGGCCGGGCGGAGCGAGAGGTGAGGCGGCGGCGGAGCGCGGCGTGAGTGTGTGAGTGCGTGCGTGCGTGTGTGTGTGTGTCTGTGTGTGTGTGTGCGCGCGCGCGCCTGCGGGGGAGGGGGCGGCCGGGACATCGCGGTGGGGAGGGGGCCCGGCCGTGGCTGCTTGGCTGACTCCGCAGCGCCCTGACCCCTCCTCGGCCACCCCCGCCCTCAGGCCGCCTTCCTAAACTCCGCGGCTGGTGCTTTCATTTTATTTCAGACCACGTAGGGGGCTGACTGGAAGCGATGGAACAATTCAGGTTTTCTAGGGAGATTGAGCAAGAACCTTAGTGGGGGGTGGAAGTAGGGTGGTGGTGGAGATCCTGCCAGAAAACAAACAGCAACAAAAAAATCAGTTTCTAAGGACTAGTGGGGTTCAGTTCAGTCCCGTGGCTGCTCCGTTTTGTTTTGCTTTCTTGGTATATAATTCTACAGATAAGAGGGTAATATAAATACTTCGAGAGATTGGGAAATTGCTGAAGAGTAGTAAGGGCGCGCACACACACACAGAAAGCCAGTCGGAAGCTGGTTATATAATGCGCGATGTGGCTAAGGAGAATGGCAAGCTATTTTTATTTTGTTTACCGTATGCTGTGCAGTAGGGACTCCTCCAAACTGGTTCTGTCCCCGAAGAGATCCTTAGCTTCCCTGTGAGAGCCACAGGATACAATTAGCAAAATTAGAAGACCCTATTACACCCACAGAATAAAAACTAATGGCTTAGAGTGGCATGCTCCTTGCACATCCTGGCGCTTGCACGGGAATGTGTGTATGCAAATAAGTTCTCCTTTGGCAATCTCGTAGTCACATCTCAATGACATTTGTGTTTTATAATGCAGGCTGTTCTTAATATTTAAACATCATCGTTACATGTCGCTCGCAGCAGCGGGTACTTGATGGGTTATTTTTAGGCACAGCTAGTTACTTTTTCGACCGTGTTAGCTAAGCCATTTCATTCGGGTTTCTGAGGAACCCTACAGTTCCTGGAAGCCCCCGTCTTAAGCCCACCTTGTGGTTTATTTGGTGGGTGAGGGTAGTTTGACACTTGAGCTCTTTTTGGAATGGAGCGTCTGCCTGAGGAAACCACCGGAGAGGAGGAAAACCCTGCACATGAACTCTTGGAAAGGGATTGCACTGTAAGGGCTAATGCTATGGCGTTTAATCTCCTCTGAGTGCCCTCTAACTGTGCCTGCATCAGTCAATATTTTAGCAGCAGCTCCACAGATAAATGGGCTTGAGTGCCACCTTCTCCAGAAAGCAGAGGTCGAAGGGCTCCCCTGAACCTTCCGCCTGCCTGCCTTTCTCATCTCGTAGATACCTGTCAGCGGGTGTAGGTTTTCGGTGCACTTACTCCATCCCTGATCACTCATGTAATTAGATCAGGCTGCCATGGCAACAGACAGTGTTCTCCCGTCCATTCAGGTGGGTTTGTCTGTGCCTGGACTACTCCCAAGTGTTTGATGCACAGTATTTGTGCTGCCCCAACCAGATGAGAGACTCTTTTTACTATTTCAGCCGCATCTTCTTCTTTCTGTCACTTTCGGATGGGAGACGCTGAATGAGGCTTCTAGCTACTCAACTTTTATAAAGGAGACCAACAAGCTGTGCTGACTGGGTGCAGTATGTAAATGCATCTCCCCAGACCGTGAAAGGAGCCTGACAATCCTGCTTGTGAACACATCAACAAGTATTTGCTACTTGCTAGAAACCTTTCAGAGCTGACGAACTGAGGAAAGCAACGTTTCTCTTGCAGTCTGGTGCCTTTGGCCTTGCAGGCACTTAACCCTTTCAAGTGCAAAAGAACTCATCCTTTAGAACCCAAGCTGCCAATAGCGGGGTTTTCTAAAGGATTTATTCAGCGGAAGTAATTTATTTGAGAAGGATATCCCCGTTGTCATATTTAAAAACTTTATGGCCATCCTAATGACAAAAAAAAAAAAAAATGCTACTGGAAGTAAGCAGTCATTCTGAATGTATTCATTCTTAACTTGGATTTCTTGGCCAGGATCCTTACCTTGGAGGTAGTAAGTTAAAAGGTTTTTGTTTCAGGTAAGAGATGATACAGGCCTTTAGCTGGTAGACTGATAATATTTGGTGCTTTTGCACCAAATTGCAAATTGCAATAAAGTACAATTTTATTGTACTTTACAATTATGCAAAGTACAAATTGTATAATTTGTACTCTATTTGGGGGTAAAATTTAATGAGCATTTAATAACTTAACAAACAACATTCTGCTCTTTGCATTAGGCGACCACCTTAATGAGCCTGCTATGCAAAGAAAAATAATACTGTTGGGGAAAAAAAGGAAAGTAGCTTTGGTTGCTGAAGCTCTGTGTTGCTCAGGCAATCCAAATAAGGGGGGAGTATTTTAATTACTCTGATATTTGAAGAAAAAATAATTGAGAATAATAATGTCTGGATGTCTGTGTGACCCCGCTAGTCAGTTTACAGTTTTACAACCCCATAGCTAAACTGGTAAATGCTTTTTTTTTAACCTCTGGGGCCTGGATTGAGAGAGCTCCTCAGTGTTCCTCACAGAGGGCTTATGAGTTTCTACCCTTTAGTGAGTCTATGCAGTTGGTAACATGATTGCGACCTGCTCAGATCAAGTGTTGCTGTGTTTAAAGCAAGCCATTATTTCTAGGAGGTAGATGGGAGAGGCAAGGATATAAAAGGAAGCACAGAAGTTTACGTTTTACACAACACCTTGGAGGTCCTGAATTACATATTACTATGCACAGAAAAACACTTTACTGGCAGCCAGATGTGAATGTGTATTTTTGAGTGCACAAATAAATTTATGTTAAAATAAGTATGAAAAATGTACTTGATTGGGAACTGTGAAAATCAGTATCTTCCCCTTCCCTTCTGGATTTCGTTTTAAGAGGGTTTGATAAAATAGAAGTGATATTTAATCAGAAATATTATAACTAGGCTTCCTGGCCTCTAAATTGTCTTTTACTCTTGCAAATAGATTCAAGAACAACTCTTCAGCCATCAGACTGTACATGAAATGTCTGTAGCTGGCCTTATGTTTCAATAGGCCTAACTCAGTTGTCTGGGGGGTCCCAGGAAAGGCCAGCCTTAAGAGCTTATTAAAATATTAACAAACATGCTTCTGTGACTTCTTGTTTTGTTGTCATTACAGGGTTTGATTCACATTCCTTTTGTATAATGTGCCTTTATTTTTTTTCCATTCTGAAATGTCAAGTGGATTTTCTGTTTGCATTTACCTTGAATGACAGTTTTTGATGACTAACGCGTGGTAACACCGGCTCATTTTGTTTCCTATGAGAAGGTAGTCAATAAACATGTTTTTACTAAAAGCCTGAAATTTAGCGAAGGTAGGAGTGAATGTTAATTCTTTAAACTATAGTTGTCTGCAAGTAACACACAGTTTCACTTCTGAAAAGCTTAAATACGTGCATATGTAAGATGACATAGTGGAGCAAGACAGAATATTATTTTTATGGGGAGACAGATGATTTGATTTCCATTGCTTTATATCTTTTGATATGTGCAGCTTAACTGCTTCAAAGAGCAGATTTAGTTCTGCTCATA